ACATACCTATACATGTGCATACTATTTGCACCCCCCCTAGCCATGCATAAATTCTCATACACTTGCACATGAAGGGGAGCTCTGGTGGTGTAGTGCCTGACGCATTTGACTGCTAACCAGAAGGCTGGTGTCCAAACCCACCAGCCACTCCTCAGAAGGAAAGTTGGACAATCTACTTCCGTAGTGATACCACCTCAGAAACCCCAAGGAGGGAGGTCGCTATGAGTTGGATCTGACTCGATGGTAGTGAGTTTGGGGTTTTTTTTTTTTTTGGTTGTGTACATAAAAACTGCCAGCCCAGGCCTAGCTCCATATCAAAATAAAGCATATCCTTAAGGCTCCCTATGGGATGTCATTTCCAGGAAACATGTAAGGGCCAGAAGGAGAAGGAGGCTCATCCTCCTCTGGCAGCTGGGATCTACTTCACCCAACAACTCAGGAAAAACCCACTGCCAGCATCCTATGCAGGATTTTCAGTTTGATATCTTTTCCTCCTTTCCCACAATCACCTAGAAAAATCTAATTTTCATTAGGAAGCAGAAGTAAGATACATTTTCCTTAAAAGTCCTTGCCTGGGCTGAGAAATCCCAGCATTGGATTTTTATTTGCAGCAAATGTAAGTTAAACTGAGTAAAATCAAATCTGGGAAGCATATCAGTGCTTAACAGGTATGACTGGACCCCTAGGAAGCAGCTCTCTGTGTGACAGATACACTGATGTGGTAGGGATGTACAACCCTTGAGATAAAACTGGCCTAACTTTTTTAATAATTCTATTTTAAATAGTTATATAAATATCTACATAATAGCCTCAATTTTTCCTCTTGGACTCCAAAGCCTAAAATAATTACTCTCTGGCCCTTAACAGAAAAAGTTTGCCAACTCCTGTCTTAAGCCGCTGGTGAGCCTACCTGCTATTACTGGTCAACCTAAAACTCCCATTGTAGTCACCAGGAGCAGCACTAGGCCCCTCACTCCTGACTCCATGACCGAATGGTGATGTACATGGAGCAGTGATTCTCCTCTAGGCTTTTCCTTGTTTGCCTCATCTGGAATGTCCTCCTTTCTTGTAGCTACTCTTCAAGGCCCCTAGAAAACTTTCTCATTTACTCCAATCCTTATTAACCTTCCCTCTTCTGATCCATAACACTTCATTTTGGAACTACCTACAAAGCACTTGATCACACACTGCGCTGCTTGATTTGCTTTTGTGTCACATATGCCATTTCCCCTCTGAGAGTATAAGCTATATGAAGCCAAGGTCCACAACCTCCTAAGAGTTTTTCTAGTATCCCACACCACACTACCACACCACACTAGGAAAGTATTGTGGTCACCCTGGGCCAGATTAGTTGTTGGGTACACATGTGTTGCTGAGGTCATGTGCTGAGAAGAACACTTGAACATCACCTAAGAGTCAAACCCCAAACAAGCCTGCCATTTCTGGAGGGGACTTGGACTAAGGTATCCCTGCACCAAGAGAAATGCTTTATTCCACCTAAACCAGAGGTGCTCATATCATTAACACAACCCAGCCATCGGCATCACGTCAGTTCTGACTCATAGTGTCCCCTATAGGTTTTCCAAGGCTGTCAATATTTACAGAAGCAGACTGCCTCATCTTTCTCCCATGGAGCAGATAGTAGTTTTGAATCCCCTACCTTTTGGTTAGCAGCTGAATGATAACTCAAATCATAATTCTATGGAAAAAATTCTCAAGGTACTAGTACTTATTTCATTTTCCCCTTCAGGGTGTGTCCTATGCAAGGTGAATCAAGGAACTGAGTTTTCAAAGCATATGAAAAGAATTTTTCTAAACCAGGAATTGCTTCGAGTTCAGCAAGTATATAACCAGCAGAAGAAAACTAAGTACTAAAAATGGAGGCCAGGTGCTTTGCAACAGAGAAGCCAGCCTTATATAAGCGTATAACACCCAAAGGTAACCCTGCTCTTGGTGCTGTGGTTGCCAAAGCTGGTGGATTATAAACCTAGGGATGGTTTCTTGCACTAGGGCCCAGGAAGCAGCATCTGGGTAAAAAGCTTGGCTGAGTCCACTTGATTTCATCTCCTCAGGAAGGTAAAACCTGTGGAAAATGAATGACAGCAGAGAATAGGAGTGGGGTAAGAGGAGGACAGGAAGGGACTCCTTACCTCAGGTAGCTTGGGTAAGAGCCTTGACATTCAGATTCTTTCTTGCTAATCATATGAAAAGGCCAATGGTGGTGGCTGATGTACAACAGTGGAGCTCACTCCCAGCATCATAGCAGCAGATGTACTAAGAATATAGAGAGATGGAAAAATACCTTGAGCTGACTGATGTGTTCCTCTTCCAGTACCCCAGGACAGAAACCGGGTCACTGGCCTCCAAGATCAGAGTCTATAACAGAGATACTTAACTCTGGGGATCCCAGCTCTAGGGTTCCTGTTTGGACCACCCAATTCCCTTTGTAAATCTACCTACAGTAACCCCTTCCCCTAACAAATGGTGAGATTCACATTCTCATTTCCTCCTCCCTGAGGATACATGGTGGCATAACACTTAAGACATTTTGACTACTAACTAGAAGGCTGGTAGTTCAACTCCACCAGCCACTCTTTGGAAGGAAGATTGGGCAATCTACTTCTGTAGAGATACCACCTCGGAAACCCAATGAGGGATCACTATGGGTCAAATAGACTCGACAGCAGTGAGTTTGGTTTATTTTGGTTTTGAGGATACATGTAAAATGGTCCTCACTCACTGAACCTTTTAAAGATGCAGACCTGTCCTGCACCTGGATACCTCTAAGACCTGGGTGTTGCTCTCCCTTCTTTTCATTGCATAAGTCTAAAGGAATGGACTTTCAGGTCAAAAGTGGTGACCAGCTTTTGTGTTTTAGGAAGGATGGAGCCTTAAGAGTTACATAGACAGATACAATCATTATCTGTTTGCTAAACTACAAACATTAGCTTTAAAGGCATAGGAGGGTTTGGAGGTGAGACTATGTGGCATTGAACTTTGGCAAGATGCCCTGCTTTTAGGCAGATTGTAAATTATAAATAAATAAAGTGTCTCTGCTCTTCTTCCTTTGCTTTAGTGCGTAATGAAAAACAACAGAACTCTGCCGGCACAATCCTTCTGTTTCCTCCTCAGATTTGCTGTTAACAGTTTCTGACTGGAAATGACTTTGCATTCACAGACACTGGCTTTTATTATTGTGTCAATGTCTAATTTAAATGCACAATTCCCAGACATCAATTTAGTAGATCCTCCCTCACCCTCCTAGAGACCTCAATACACCTCAGGACTGGTTAGTAAGACCCCTGCTCTTATGAGGAAGGTGCCACTGTGGGTAACCAGTCAACCCTGATAAGGAGGTGAAACAATCATTCAGCAGGGAAAAACAACATCAGGAATGTGAAGCCACACAGCAGACAGCGAATCCTAGGGAGAAATTGTAGCTAATGTTACATCTACTGTGATGCTTTGCCACACCATCCAGTGAAAGGAAACAAAGGGATCCATTCTGAGTTTAGGGATTACTCAGGACAAGAACACAGTATGTAGAAACCAGCCTTTAACGTGAACAAGAGAATCTTCCCATTAGGCTTCTGGCTGCTACTATACACCATAAAGGCACCACACTGTCCTCTGCCACACCACAGTGGGTGTGAACCAGAAGGCACTATACCCTTTGTGACTTTCCCACCAGGGCTGTGCTTGTGCACACAGGTTTTGTGTCTGTGGGAATCAGGCTTGTTTCTCAGAGCTGTTGAGAGCCATGTTAAGTAGGACTTAAAACCTGTAGACAAAGCAGAGGTCAGAATTCCAGACCCAGGAGACCTTCTTGGACCTGTGGGCGCACACACACACACACACATGTGTGTGTGTTGGGGGGGGGGTCTGGCCATCCTTTTCCTTCTAGTTCCATGCACACTCAGAGCTGACACACTAACAGTTGGGTCTAATACTACATTAGACAGCTTGTTGCAATGGTGTCCATATCACAAACAGCTTGAGATAAACAGAATTTACCCACCTTCTGTGAGGCACCAAGGAGGCCCATTGAAAAGATCCTGCTGATCAAATCCTTAGCTTTTCAAGTTCTCTACCCTAATCGAGGCATTTGCTCTGACTCTAAAACCAGAAACTGCAAGTGGCAGACTAAGAAATTTCAAAAAATACATCGACTGCAGAAAAACTAACACTTGCCTCAACCAAGTAACAATTTATTTCCTGGGATAAAAATAAAGAGAATTAATGATCAGAAGTCTTCCTCCAATATCACTAAAATGCTTTTTGAGGAAAGTCACAAGAATTGTTTAAGGTGCACAGAAAAGTCAGGTTTACTTTTCCAGAACATTTCCTGCTCTAGACACAAAGCACCGATACCACATCCCAGAAAAGAGAGGCTTGTGGACATGGGAGCCAGAACATCCATACCAGCATCTCTGACTCTAATAGAAGTATCACAGAAAAACATTGCAACAACTCTCTTCGCCATAAATACAACATATGTCATCAAAATATACCCAAAATATCTCTTGCTCAACTACAATACAAAAATTCACTCACCAGTCATAAAAATAAGATTTTTCCCTATATACAAATATAATCATATGTGAAGCAAACTTGGAACACATGGATGGGGGGGGCCTTACAAAATCTCTTGGGATCTGAGCTATTTAAAGTCATTTTTGTTTGGGTTTTCCCTCTGCTGGGTATAGGAAACTGGCTACAAATGCATCCATCTCACAGTGCTCACCATTTCAACAGCTCCTGCGTCATGGAATGTGGTACTTTTTAAAAATAGGTGACCCTTGGTGTCATGGAAAGAAGAGGGAAAATGCAGGATCAAGGGAGGGAGAGGAGAGAAAGAAAGAAGGAGTGAACTTAGGCTACAGGGTGAACTTGAAATACTCTGTGGTATAAAGTAGATAGCCAGGTTCAGGAGACCTCCCTTGTCATCCCCAGCCACTGTCCCCGCCGCCCACCCCCCCCCAGTCTGCCTTGATCTCCATTTACAGATCTGTTTCCCGGCTGGTGTCCAGGCAGAGAGCATACAGGGACCTCCGTAAGTCCACATTGCTCTTGGCCTTGAGATTGCACTTCTCCAGGGGGCAGCTGCCCCTTCGGGCTCCGTCTGCATTCTCCAGGGACCCCCCAGCCTTGCCAAGGGAAACTTTGCTCCAGCTGGCCTTGCGCAAGCTTCCACCATCAGGCCCCATCCCCTGGCTCTGGCTGCCCTGTTCTTCCTTAAGGGCTGCCTGCTCCTCATGGTCTGTCTCCCGGTGGTAGAAGTAGTTGAAGTTGGAGACGATGACGGGCACAGGGAGGGCGATGGTGAGGACCCCAGCAATAGCGCATAGTGAGCCCACGATCTTGCCCCCAACAGTAACAGGCCTCATGTCCCCATAGCCCACCGTGGTCATAGTGACGACTGCCCACCAGAAGGCATCCGGAATGCTGGAGAAGTGGGTCTCCTGGTTGTCGGCCTCTGCAAAGTAGACGGCGCTGGAGAAGAGGATGACTCCAATGAAGAGGAAGAAGATGAGCAGCCCCAACTCCCGCATGGAGGCCTGCAAGGTCTTGCCCAGGATCTGGAGCCCCTTGGAGTGGCGGGAGAGCTTGAAGATGCGGAACACCCGGACCAGGCGGATTACTCTGAGGATGGCCAGGGACATGGCCTGCTGCCCATTCTGGCCACTCCCTCCTCCACCCCCTGGCTGTTGCTCTGCCAGCTCAGTGCCCAAGGTGATGAAGTAGGGAAAGATGGCCACCACATCGATGATGTTCATGATATTCCGAGAGAACTCTGCCTTGCTAGGGCAGGCGAAGAAGCGAACCAGCAGCTCGAAGGTGAACCAGATGACACATGTGGTCTCCACAATGAAGAAGGGGTCAGCCAGGGTCCTAGGCAGAAGCGGTGCCACTGTCGGACCAGAGGGAGGCGACATTGCCCGGCTGCCATTGGCACTGGTGGCAGGAGCAGGAGGCTGCTGGGGCACCGGGGGATGGCGAAGCAACTCTCGCTCATCCCTGAATTCAGGCAAGGTCTCCAAGCAGAATGTGATGATGGAAATGAGAATGACTAAAACTGAAACGATGGCGATGGCCCGAGCGGACCCTGAGCTTTCCGGGTATTCGAAGATAAGCCACACCTGTCGTTGGAACTCATTGCGGGGCAGGGGCTTCTCCTCTTCTTTAATGAAGCCCTCGTCCTCCCGGAAGCGCTCCATGGCCTCGTCCCCCAGCTGATAGAAGCGAATCTCATCTGCGAACACGTCCAGCGAGACGTTGACGGGCCTCCTCAACCGCCCCCCGGACTGGTAGTAGTAGAGGATGCCATCGAAGCTGGGCCGGTTGCGGTCGAAGAAGTACTCGTTCCTCAGCGGGTCAAAATAGCGTAGGCGCTTGGCCGGATCCCCCAGGAGGGTGTTGGGGAACTGTGCCAGAGTGCCCAGCTGCGTCTCGAAGCGCAGCCCAGAGATGTTTATGAGGACGCGCTGGTGGTGAAGGGACCCGGCGCCCAGCGCCTGGTCCTCTGCCATGCCCAGGGCGGGGTCGCCTTCTGCTTCCTCGTCCTCTGGAGGTGGAGATCTAGGCTGAGGCAGCTCCCGGGGTAGAGGTGGCAAAGGTCGCCCTCCCAAGTCCGCGCCCCTGTGCGCGCTGAGCCCCTTTGGTGCCGGCTCTTTGCCTCCTTCGTTGAGTCCAGCCGTCCGAGGACACTGGAGCTCTCCCTCTGTGACCTGGCCACAGCCTGCTCGGGTCTCACCTCCTCCTCGGACGGTCATGGCAGTGCCGTTCTCCAGGGGCACCAGGGTTATCTCCATGGGCAGGGGGCATACTGCGCCCCTACCGACCGGCTCTGGTGCCCCCGGCTCACTCTCCGCCCTGCTCCTTGCGTCGGGTGCCTCTCCCGCGGTCGGTCAGCCAGCCTCACTTTGGGGCGGGCTAGGGTTGCTGGCGCGATCCCCTCGCTTAGCCCTGACGTCAAGAAGCTGCTGCCCTGCTCTCTGCCTCGCTCCGTTCTGGCAGCCCGTTACCAAGCAGCCGAAAAGCCTCTTTCCAGCAGATGCAACCTTCAGCCGCCCCTCTCTGGCTGCTCAGCGCTCGGCCTCCACCCTCCGTGGCTCCCCCTCCTCGCCGCTGTTCCCTCCTCCTCCTCTCGCCTCCCCTCCTGGGTCTCGTGGCAGCGGGTGTCTCCCCGGAGGGCGCAGCTGGGGCCCCAGACTAGGAAAGGGAGGGAGGCAGGCCGAGGAGGGCGCAGACGGTAGAGGGAGGGAGAGAGTGGGGAGGATGGAGGAACAGGTTGTACTGTGAGCGCTGAAACTCCCAGGGCAACCAGATGAGAACAGCTCAGGATTTCAGTTCACCTGGGAACCGCTGAACGCCCAGTGGTCTCGAGGGAAAATGAATTGCCTTGGGTTGAAGGGATAAAGCTTTGAGCTGGGTCACAGTATGAAAGACAAGATAAGACATTTTAAATCTTTTCTTTGGAGGAAGAGCGGATAGCGGTATCTCTGCTTTGGGAAGAATGGGGGTGGGGCATCGGGAGTGGGGCGTGGCAGACCTTTGGGCTTCGGATAATTAAAAAAAATAAAAATAAAAAACTCTCTCCAGACTAACGGAGACGTTAAACCCACAAAAAAGAACATACTGCTGAAACCTCTCAGGTCCCTCTGCCCCTGCCCTGCGGGTAACCTAGATTCCCAATCCAGACTGAGGCGCTGGGCCACGACATACCCAGGCAGGCAAACCCAGGCAGGCCGCAAGCAATCAGAAGATGGACTGCCTAGTCACATAACACCACCGTGGACATACAGCCCCTCTGCTCGGACCACTAAATTGTATTCGCAAATCCTAATAGGGAAGGGGAGGAGGGATGAAGAGATCCTAGCAAGGCCTGTTTCTGCCTGGTGAACCAAGAAGCCAAGCAACTAGAGCAAGGTTTGTCTACAGAGGTGGGTTTATGCCTAAGAGCCAGGGAGGTTGTATAATCCACAGCTGGAGAATTCCCAGGGGCCAGAATAGTAACAACCTAGCACTTACTTGTTCTTACTATGTACCAGGCCCATTCTCAGCACTTCACAAAATTGAATCCTGTGTTCCCCACAGACACCTAGATTGTGTTGTTGTTATTGTTGTTGTGTGCCATAAAGTCACATTTGCTTCATAATGACCCTACAGGACTGAGGAGAACTAGGCTGTAATCTTTATAGGAGCAGATTGCTAGGTTTTTTTTCCTTGTAGAGCTGCTGGTGGTTTCAAACCACAAACACTTTGGTTAGAAGCCCAGGGGCTTAACCACTGCACCACCAGGCTTCCTAACGTATTTTGTAAGTACTGTTATTCCAAAGGAGCTCTGGTGGTGCAATGCCTAAGATATTTGACTGCTAACCAGAAGGTTGACAGTTCAGCCACTCCTTGGAAAGAAGATGGGGCAATCTACTTCTGTAAAGATTTACCACATTAGAAATCCAGGGGAGGTAGCTATAGTCTGAATCAACTAAATGGCAGTAAATGCAGTGGGAGCTCTGGTGGCATAGTGCCTAAGGCATTTAACTGCTAACCAGAAGGCTGGCAGTTCAAACTCACTAGCCACTCCTCAGAAGGAAGACCGGGCAATCTGTTTCCAGAGAGATACTGCCTCGGAAACCCAAGGAGGAGATGCTATGAGTTGGAATCAAATCCACGACAGTGAGTTGTTTATTTTTTGAGATTGCTTTGGTGTAGTTGTTAAAAGCATTTGGCTGTTAAACAGAGGTCAGCAGTTCAAACCCACCAGCCGCTCCATGGGAGAAAGATGTGGCAGTCTGCTTGCATAAAGATTAACAGCCTTGGAAACCCTACAGGGCAGTTCTACTCTGTCCTGTAGGGTCACTGTGAGTTGGAATCAATAAGATGGTAATGGGCAATTATTATTCCCATTTTCTAGATGAGAAAACTGAGGCACAGAGAGATAGACTAACTTGCCTAAAGTCACACAGGTAGAAAGTAGCAAAACTGGGATTCAAACCTAGGCAATTAGAGTTTGGGCCCTTGCTCCACTGCCTTGAGAGAAAGGCATAATCTCCCTTCCACATACAAGCATTCCCTGTCCCAACGTCTGACCTGAGAGCTTTAGTTTCTTCCTGCAGGAGACAGGGGGATAGCTGAGATAACATGTAAGCTTGTGTAGTTTAGGACCCAGAGACTCCCTGGGTGTTGCAAATGGTTAATACTGCCAACTGAAAGGTTGGAGGTTTGAGTCCACCCAGAGGGGTGTTGAAAGTGATCCACTTCTGAAAAACAGCCATTGAAAGGGCTATGGAGTGCGGTTCAGCTCTCACACACATGGGATCACCATGAGTCCAAACAGACGTGACAGCAACCAGTAACTGATAGTTAGGAACCTAAGGTATCTTCCCCTGCCCTTATCCTGCAGGTTGTAGTGACTACCAATAGCCAAGGGGAATATCTGGCAAGGCATGTTCATGTGAGACTCTGCTAACAGTTCTAGACAAAGCCTCTAGATGTTTGCTGGTTTTAAAATTACCATAAAATCACTGCATTTTTGAATATTTGTTTGTATTGTCTATTTTGTTTCTGTATTTTGTTAGATACACACACACACACACACATACACACATATATATCCATGGTGGATGTTTTGGAAACTTGCTTCTGGGTGCACACATGTTTATTGGAATAGCAGGGTATGGACATACAAGCTTGTGTAAGGGTTTGGGAAGTATATGTGCATGTGGCTTTTTTAAGGGTGTGGATGAATGTGCATTTGGTGTGTGTAAATGTTTTTATTTTATGTGACGTTGTGCATGTGGTTGGCTGTCTTTGCAGATGTGCATGAATGAGGAAGGGAGCATGAAAATGAAAATCAGTATATGGGAGCATTATGGTATCCCAGGTGCACACAGTCCCCTCTCCAGACTTCTGCCATCCCTGCTCCATCTTCACTGGTTTTTCTTCTCCCCTGACTCTGAGGTAGCCAGTCAGGATCATGTCTGCCCCTGGGGAGCCCACGGCTTACTGAGCTTGTAGGGGGTGAGCTCAGACCCATGGCCACTGTGTCTTGTTTACTTACTCTCATGTAAATCCAGGGATGCCATGTTGGTTTACATGGGCTCTCTTTGGGATCCCTGGGGAAAGAGTTCTCTGGAGCTCATCTTCCAGGGGCCCTAAGGAGACTGTCTCCTGAAGAATTAGTGCAACATAAACAGCGTCCTGGCAAAACACATACTCCAGGCCTCCTTTAATGTGATATTTTCTTAAATTTGCTTTCCATGCAACCTCATCTTCTTACCAGCTCACATACTTTTCTTGCAAAATTACCTTCAGATGTCACATGTGGCAGCCATGGAGGTATACTGCTCAACTCTGCCTCAAAGAGAAAAACCTGCTTTTCAGTTGCAAGGAGTACAGTTAGCTGGCAGCCTCCAGTTGTAAGTGCTTTCTGGCTTTGCCACAGCTTTCATGCAGAGGCCCTGCTATAGGGCCTGGCCATTTCTGCCCAATGAGGGACTCTACTCATGGACAATCTTTGCTCTGAATCTCAATAGTGTTGACCAAGACTTTGTAACATCTTCATTGCTGTCTGAGATTCTCCTTGTCCAGTCCTGCTTCCTCCCCACTTTGCTTTCACAAGCATCAAATCAGCACCAAGGTTTTTCCCTGCTGGGTTTAGCTGCTTCTCCCTTTTACCTTTCCCAGGCATTGCTTTCATTCAACCTCTTGCATTCCTAGGAGCTGTGGTGGCACAACGATCAAGTGCTCAGCTGCTAACCGAAAGGCCAGTGGTTTGGATCAACCATTGGCTCTGCAGGAACAAAAACCTGACAATCTGCTCCTGTAAGGATTTCAGCCTAGGAAACCCTATGGGGCAGTTCTACTTGGGCATATAGGGTGGCTATGAGTTGAAATTAACTTGATAGTAACAACAACAGTGTTCAAAAAACAAAAGCCATTGTGTCTATTCCAATTCCCCAGCAATCCCATGCACTGCAGAATATAATTGTGCTCCATAGGATTGTCTTGACTATGACTTTTCAGTAATAAATTGCCAAACCTTTCTTCCAAGGTGCTTCTGAGTGGGTTCAAACTGCCAACGTTTCACTTAGTATCTGAGCAGTTAACCTTTTGTACCACTCAGGGACTCTCAAACTATTGCACATTGTTGTTAGTTCCCATCAAGTTGATTCTGACTCATGGACACCCCTATGTTCAGAGTAGAAAGAATTGCTCTATAAGGTCTTCAAGGTTGTGACCTATTTTTATTTGTTTTTCACTTTTATTGTGGTGAAAGCATATACAACAAGATATTCACCAATATAACAACTTCTACATTTATAGTTCAGGGACGTTGATGACATTTTTCATGTTGTGTCACCATTATTGCTATCCTTTTCTAAAATATTCCACCACCATTAGCATAAACTCAATGCCCTGCAAACATAAGCTTCCCCTTTCTGCCTCCCTCCTACCCTGATAACTACTAATAATCTTTGGTGTGTGTGTGTGTGTGTGTGTGTGTATATATATTTCAACCTACATAGGAATTCCACCCCCCATCCCTGATAGCCAACAAAGAAAGTTCCCTCCCATGTATAAACCTTTCCTGGATTTTTTACAATAATGGACTAATACAGTATTTGTTCTTCTGTGATTGACTTATTTCACTTAGTGTATGTCCTCCAAGTTCATGCACATTATGGGGTGTTTTGCAGCTTCTACATAATTCTTAATTGTTGCATAGTATTCCACTGTGTGTATGTACCACAATTTGGTTATCCATTCCTCATTTGATGGGTACTTAGGTTGTTTCCATCTCTTGCTA